TGTAAAACCAGTTCCTTATAAATCAATATCTCAGTGCTGTTATTATTTTTACACCTCTTTGAACACCCTTTCCAGTACCTAGTCTTCTGCTAATAAAATGCTGCAAAGAAAACACCATATTTCAGGTGGGCCTCTGCCAAAGCTGTATGCCCAGTATCACTGCCCTGTGGAATCACAGGGACATTAAAAAGCCATGGAATAGAGGATAGACATCTGATGTAAATCAGAGTATTATTGCAAACTTGGTGGGCCTTGGAAGCTGTATTACTGAAACAGCACATAGAGTAAAACAGGCCAAGATAATCATACCTCATATTTCACAGTAGTGTCAGTTCTGTGCCAGTGGTGCTATTCCATATTTATAGCTTTATATTGGCATAAGGCAATTTACATTCAAGCAAATGGGAGTTTTCCAAGAGTGTTGATTCAAGTTCTTGTTGAGAAATGAGTATGGCTCCTTTTGCACATCTTTACGGCGAAATAGCAGTTAGAGAAGAGTCTACTTGAGATTTTATGAAGTGGTGCATAATGAAGCACCAAATGGATGGACCTTCATAGAAGTGTAATTTTCTAAGACATCTGACCTATGCTCCCTCTGAAAACCAAATATCTTCAGGGAGTGGCAAGTTACCCACCTCAAAATAGAGTTAACACGTTCAGCGAGTCTTGCTCTGAAATCTTGACCTACATCTCTCCACAGTTCTCTCCATTATGAAATGTGGATTACAGGTATTTTACTGTGAGCACACTTGATTTTATTGAGGTCCAGTTTATTTGAAGAAAACATTGCTTGCTGTCTATGCAAATTCAGAAACAGCCATCATCAAAAGAGCTGAATATGAATTTACCTCTTTGACAGTTATTCCTTGTCACATTATTTTGGTTAACAGGGAATTCATCACAGGGGAGAAGAAAAAATAAAGCTTCTTGACAGTTACAAGGAATTAATGGTGCTTACAATAATGTATTTTCCAAGGGAAGGCTGGAGGGCAGGGTTTGACAGCAGTGAAGCTGTTCCACATACAGTGACATCCTGTGACCATCATTAGCCTGGATTTTACCTTTATAGAGGGAAGACTTGTTCATCTGTGTAACTAGCATGAATTGTGCAAGGCTTTGAAGTCGCAGCTCGCAGGAGAGGTTGAAATCCTCCTGTTCTGATCATTCTACCTGTGCCCACCACACCACTGCACCTTGCATTTTGAGGAGACAGAAGAGTTAGTATTGTGCCTATGGTATATTTAGGGAACTGAATCAGAAAGCCCAGGTACCCATGGAAGCCTATGGCCAAAAAGGAAATGGGACATGGGACTAATTGAGTATTCTGTCCAGGGTGGTGTTGGCAATTATAATAGCATTCCCCATTTCCCATGGCAAAGAATTTCTGCTTGTGTTTCATGCTTCTGCCAAGAAAAAGATAAAAGGAGATTTTTCTCTATGTCACTGAGGAGAATCCCCTTTTCATCCGGATGAATTATGCTGTCTTCAAGACACCAGATTAATCTGTCTGTGATATCCCTTGTGTATTGATTCTGGACTAACACATATCTGTGTTTGTTCTTTCATGATCAAATAAAAAGCTGACTCACATGTTAGTCCTTTTCTGCTACCACTGCCATGAAACTATCTACATAAAGAGTTCAGTCCAGCTGGAGAGATACAAATAGACTGCTCACTATGCGACCAAAGATTTGCTGTGCACTGGGGTAAAGTTTCACCTTGAGTTGCCTCACAAGAAGCCTCTGGAGGAGATACTTTAAGCATTTGACACAGTTCCCTGAAAGGGCAGCAAAGAGAGGCAGCTTAGATGGCATTTTGATGTTGTGTCCAGTCCTCTCTTGAGCCTTCTCTGGCTTCTTCTGAGTCTTGAAAGGGAAGTAGCCACCCATAACATGCAGCATCCCAGGCCCTCTCCAAAATTCTACATGAGATCCCTATGCAGTGGTGGATCCCCAACAGTTTTGGGGTGAGATGTGGATAGTAAGTCAACATTTATGTTAAGGTTGATGATGAGTGTAGTTTGGCTCAGTTGAAGCTTGTTGTCTGACTTGCTGTCATCGTAAAAACCTTGTGAGCTACAGATTATTGCATTATAGGTATGCACAGTAGGAAAGGCAGACAAGGTAGGAGCTCCAAGATACACGTGAATTAGGATTAAATGGAGCAAACTAATTCTCAATCAGATCCAGTCACCATTAAAATGAAGAAGATAGAAAGAGACAGAATCAAAATTAGTGAGATAACAGATTGCATTTCTGGTTAGGAAGAAGACCTGTGTTATGAAATGCTGGTGAATTTAATGTTCAGTTCTATACTTATTTGTCATACACATTGTAAAGCATATTTACAGTCATCACCTTCTAGTTGAATCAGGGCAGTGAGCTTTTGTTTTTCTTAGAGTACTTTATGTTTTATAGCTTAGAGCCTTGGCAGAAGTCCATCTATGGTGAAGATTCACATTGGTGTTAGGCTGGGGACTGCAGTTGTTGCTGTTCTGTCTGCACTCTGCTGTGTTTGTGGAAGGATCAGGATTGGAGCTGTGAGAGTTTTCTCATGATCTCTAAATCCAGAAGTGCATTTGCACCAGTTTTATCCCTAGAAAATCATCCATTGCTTACAACTTACTTTCCTGAGAAATAGACAAGACATACTGTAAAGCAGGCTTATTTTGTTCATGCTATAATACAGTATATGCTAGATATGGTATAAGAAATTATGCTAGAAGGTAACTCTAGTTATGACCCCAAAAACCCCACCACATAACAACAAATCTCCATTCCCCACAAAATTAAGGAAAAAACCAACCAACCAAACAAACAAACCCAACCCCAGCTCTTTGGAGGCTTTTCAAGATAGTTCTGGGACTTTCAGATAAAGATAATGTATTCCTTGCATAAGTGCTCGAAACGAATGTGTTGGCTCTATGCATAAACTGTTTTCAAGTCTGTCTTGTCATTCAGTCTAAAGAGTGTTTCAGTGGCACCTTGGTGGAATTTCTCAAAACACTGGTGCTGGCAGATATAAGATGCCCTGCTTCAGCTGAAGGGCTGCCAAAAGGAAGCTTTACTATCAGTTTCCTGACCAGCAGAACTAACAAATTGTGGCTGCAGGAAAACTGTATACCATGCTGCAAGTGGGAATTTCTTTGTGCTGCATCACTGGATATAAAATGTGAGAGTGAAATGCTGTCACTTATATGCACACATCTTCAGACAGTTTCAGCAAAATCAGATTTCTAGATCTTTGTCCTGAATGATAAGCAAATGCATTTGATAAAAATACACTCAACATCCCTATAAATAACAATTTCTCTTTTTGCCTTTGCAAACCATCATCAGAAGGTTTTTCTTCACTTCCTCATTCCTTATCCTTCATCTACCCACAGAACCATAGCAGCATGCATGTAAAAATGCATAAAAATTTCAGCCTTGCAATTTAAATGTCAACTCTTCAATCTTATTGCAGTACATTTCGACCCTCTTTTGCATATGGTATGGTTGACTCCTTACAATTCAAGTTTTCTTTAAAATGACAGAAGATGCATCTGTGGCCCTTTCTGGTAGTCCCATTTGTTACTCTATCCTTGCAGAACAAAAAGGTAATGCAGCATGCTATGCTGAAAGATCAGTCACAGACAATCCCTTAAGGATATTAAATAGATAGTTATGTTGTCATTGTGAAGCTGATCTGACTCCGCTTCGCTAGAGTTTAGCAAGACCTCACTGAAATGCTGCTGAGATTTAGCTTCACTGTGGTATAATGAGGCATTTCTGCACGGCAAGAGGATGTTGCAAAGGTGTGTACCTATTGCCCATGTTTTTCAGTGCCCTGAAAAAAAGAAAAGATGGCAAAGAAATATAGATGTGTGTGCGTGTGTGTATATATATATATATATATATATATATATATGTAATCTATTTCACAGCTTTCTGGTTGTCTAGGTTTTTTTTTTCTCCCATCCTGTATAGTTTCCTCAGGCTTATATTAAGAGGAGCTGTTTGCAGTCATGCTGAGTGATGATTTGGGGGGTGTTGCAGACTGTTGTAGAAAGACTCAGAACTCACACACAGCTGCACTAATGAAGTTGCAGGCATAGCCTGCTCCTCTCTCTTACACTATAGCACAAACTAGTATTTAGGGTCTCACTTTCAAAGACTGAGGGCTTCCAGTGAGTCCTCTAAATTCTGCATATGGACATCTAAATTACTTGCCCTCGGTGGTTTTCTAAATTAAAAGTTACAATTTAAAACAAAAAGCACTAACAGCTGTACCATTTGTTTTCTCAGAGTCATTCCATTTGAAAGTAATAGCAAATGCAATTATTTAAATAAGTTTACATAACTCGTTACCTTTTGAAGAATTTCCTTCCAAACAGTAATAATAAATGTACATGTGTACACTGAGAGCTCTCTCGGGTCAGACTTTTTATTTGAAAAACTTTATTTTTATAGCTATATAAAATGTTACAGCCATTCTTAAAGAATTCGTGAGTGCCTTTTTATTTTAGTGCCCACAGAAAGTGGAAGGAATTTGCCAGAAACCTCTCTCAGACAAAGAGAATACAAATACAACCCAGTGTTTCCACTGAAGGATAATGGATATTTTTACCATTTCTGCCCACGTCCTTCAGAGCAGCTTGTACAATCCATAATGACACAGGGACAAGAAGGTACTTTCGCTTCCACCTTGGTGGGATTTTACTGTGCCAAGGTATGGCTTGGAAACTGCTTTGAGATCCTTGCAGTGGAGGTGTTAAAAAAAACGCAGGAACTTGCTGTGGTGTGATGATGCACCGACTTCGCTGCAGCATGATCCTACCTGTTACTACAAAAGCCTTTGGAGGTCAAAAGCTGGCCTAGTTTGACTATTTCTTTGACTTTTTAATGAACGAATGCGGACACTGTTTGAATAATTCAGTAATGTTAAAATGTAAAATCTTGAAGCACGTCAGCCACTAAAACCACTTCTTTGCTGAAGAGATTCTGCATTTCCCTGGCCGGGACTGGTGCTCCCTGTGAGGCAGAGCTGGAAAGTCTCCCCATGAGCTTCCAATGTAAAATTGAAGTCTTGAATACTCCCTGGCCATGAATTGAGCCCCTGAGTGCACAGTGACTGAATATTCATTTTGTCCTTTCTTCAAAAAAATACTTAGAATTTAAGGTACAAGAATAGCTCCATTCATGAGCTGCAATGTGAGACAAGACTCTGTTGCCAGTGCCATATCTACATTTCTTAATAAGAAGCGAACAAAGCTGATGTATTACAGTGTATAAAAATAATGAAAAAAGAAAACCAGAGAGAGAAATTACCTTTTTTTCATGAAGTGACATGGGTTGATTATAAGCATACACATTATTTCTCTTTGTTGTTCACTTTATTGTGCAGTCTGAGAGAATAAGGAAGCCATGTGCACCTGTATGGCTGGATGATATTAGGGTTTCAACATTTGGAACAACAGATACTTAGGGTAAAACTTTCCCCAGATTCGAGCTGAACTATTCAGCACACACTTAGCTGTCATTAATCTTACATGCAGAGCCAGGCTTCTCATATTTCAAAATCTTTGGAGAGACAGCTTTTTAATCTATATTTGGTTCTTCTTTTTCCCCCCTCTGAGATTGGTTTCTCTTTGCATATAATGCTGTACTAGTTTCAATTTGAACAGAACCCTGAAATAAAGTAGTTGAATATGAAACCTTGGCAGAGAGAAAGGAAACAATTATCTTGAAATTCCTTTTCTTTCTTCTTTTTTTTTTCTGAGGCATTTTAACTTGTTTCAAGCAACATATTATCTTAATCACAACAAGAGGGCATATATTACTGGATGGGGCATAAATTCAATTAATCTCAGCCATAATTCTCCAAGAAATTCATTTCAATATAATGTAACACCTTTAAGTATCTAAATTACATCAGCTGAAGGTGGTTAAGAAGAGAAGCAGAAGCAGGAGCTGCCCAGCAGCTTCTGGTGGTCAGGTCTACCTCTGTCACCAGCTCTGGCATCTTCTGCAAGCCTGGGCACAAAAATGAAGAACAAGGAAAGGAAAATGCCAGGGGAAGCTGAAAAAGATGTCTGTGAGAGCAGCAAGTAGCAGGGGTATATGGTTTAAGCTTATTCTCAAAAATATATGAACTATAACAGCCGCAGGTTATGAAGTATTTCCATCAGAAGTTTCTGGCAGCCAGGAGCAAAAATTTTAAGTGGTTTGCGTATCTTTCTGTGCTCTTGTGATAATGATATAGCTGTCGGTTCCTTATTTTGTAGGTCATTTGTACAGCTCATCTTCTAAAACCTCTCTGCTAATACTCAAGAAGGATATTACTGGAATCCCAAGCTCCTTGCTATTTTACAGAGTTGAATCTGGACACATGAAATACGAATTCAGCAACGTGTGCTGCCAGACAGCATTGGGAATGGACTGGGAACTGACTGTTTAGACTCATGTGTATGTGTGTGTGTATATCTGCAAGACATGCATAAACTACTCAAATGCAGATGTGTAAATTTTACCATTAAGTGTTTGCATTTCTTTGCTTCACCATTTCTTTTTATTTTGCTTCATTTAGCATAGATTATCTCTGTAAATCTGGCCACTAGTCAATTACTCAATTCCTTTTCAAAGGAAATAATAAGAAAGATTACAAAATTTATGAGACTAGCATAAATCACAGTATCTTCCCCACCTGAGAATCTGACTCTATAAAGCTAGTTACTTTCTTATTTATAAAGGTAATTATTCTATTAAAATTAATAGTAAAATGAATACTGCTGTGACTGAATTACATGGGATAAGCGTGAAATACTGTGATCTGTTCTGCTATGAATTAGTAATTATAGTGTGCTCAGTTAAATTTGCATACTTTCCTCTCCTTCCCTGCTATCCACCTTGGTTTAGTTGCTAAAGCTCTCCGCAGGGTTGGAGCTGGAGATTGCTAGTGTTTTATGCAAGGAGGAACTGTTTGCAGAATATAATCCCCCTGAGTTTTAAGGTAGCAGAAGAACTTACAAGAAAAGCATAGTTTTGTTTGTTATTTGAAATATCTGTGATCGTTTTTCTAAACGTTTGTTTATATAGATGAGGTGAGGAAAAACAAAGAGGGGAAAATATCTGTCTCCTTTTCAGCTGTTATTTCTCTGGGAAAAGTTTAGCTTTGTGCTAGGACTTTGAGTTCACACTGCCTGAAGCAGTGAAAGTAGGTGGTATCTCAAAGGAACAGTGCTCAGAATAGGGAGATCCAGTACTCATTCAGGAGCTCATGGACCTGCAATAGCTTCTGTTTCAGAAAAAGCTGCCTGCATCTTTTTGCACTTAGGTGGTTCGTGGGAAGTTTAGTTAATCTTGAAGAGGATAAGTGGTAGTGGGGTGAAAGGCAGCCTTTCCCACACACATATTGAGAGGCATACCTTGAGCCATAGAAATTATTAACTAGAGGAAGTCAGGAAACAATACATTTTCAGTGATATATGGATGAAGGGCAGAAGTGACATGTGAGGTCCAGACTGATTTCTGAGGATGAGAGCAAGCCTACCCAGCACTAGCAGGCAAATTTTGCCCTGCAGCCTGTACAGCCCTACTATGCCTGGGTACATGCTTAGCTCGGCAAGGTGGGCTTATCACCTCAGCACAAGTTAAATAACCCTCAGTCTGATAGAAATGGGTATATGGGAGGAAACTGAAATAGAGAACAACTACCCTTTGATTTGCAGTAGCCTGAATCTGACATCCTTCAAGAGTCCTATGAGAGCCATGTGTTCAACTTGGCTTCAGAGGCAGAGGAAGGAAATCACTGCTGCCCAGGCAGCCTGGGAAAGCCCTAGCTGGGTGGATTCCTGTGAAGTAATGACGTTCTTAATAGGATTTTATTATTATTAACCATATTAGGATGGTCACTGGCTGATTTAGATAGCTTATGCTTGATTAAATAATAACCTGCTCTAAATGATAAATGCAAACTTGTCCAAATGTATGAAAACCTGTTTTAACTTTCCTGGAATAGCACACAGCCGCAGTCCCCTTCCTACGGATTGATGTGCCTATAATTTCCTGGATCTTCCTTTGAGCCCTTGACATCTCTGGTTACTTCTAACTTTATAGAAGGTTATGCTTTTTTAATTCCTAAAATAGCCTGTACAGCGCATAGCTTAACCAGCTCAACAGAAACACTTTTTCACCCTAGGAAAGCAACCTCAGACAACTTGTAAAAAGGTCATGTAAACTTTAGATCCAAGCCATTATTTTTAATTCATGTGGTGTATCCATGTTTCCTAGCACCTGAACAGTCCTTCCTGCAAATTACATTCTTTTTGTGAATATAAACAGTTTATTAAAACTGCTGTATTAATTATTTAAATGAGTTTATAAATATTTGAGGAAGCCTATGCAAAAGGCACTCATAATAAATTATCGGTTTCTACTTCAAGTTAAATTACAAAACTCTGAAGACTACCTTCTGTAACAAAGCAATTTCTGCTGCCTGTTATCACAAGGGACAGAGCATTATATCTAGGAAGCAGATATAACAAAAATCAGCACCTAAAGTTTAAAGTGAAATAGCAACATTTCTGTCTTAGAGGGTTGGTACTAAATGTGATACACAATCAAGTACGTGGGCATTCGGTTATTCATGATTAGCGTCTTATGAGAGGAGCCATCAGTTTGACTTTTTGATCACAGGTGTGGAGACTGAATTAATAAGCAGAGGGGGAGAGAGGTACTGAGAAGACTCCTGGAGCAAGTGCAAGAAGGAATCACTCACCCAGATCGATTGATTAAAGGAGAAGTCAGATACTGTAAGTGGTACTGGCAAGAATATCAATCCTACAGCTCTATGGCAGATCAAGCTCAATAATGCAAGGGAATTTTTTATATGTGAAGGTAGGCAAAACCCAAAATTAAATAAAAAAATGTCAGAAACAAGATAGCAAATACTTATCTGGATAAACATTCCTGGAAATTCTTTTCCAGATGGGAGGAAGTTTCTGCTTTGGAGTTCTTAGTTTTGCAGTGTTGGTTGCTAAGGTAAAGACTCACTTTGTAGACATTTACATCTTTTGAGTCCTAGTGCCCATGTTAATGTCTGTCTGTCAAGGACATTGAACATTATAAATGGCAGGTGCCAAGCAGGACTGAAGTGTGCCTGCAGAATTTGGGTAATGGATAATTCAACTGATTAAATAGAAAGAGATGTCCAGTGATGATCCACTTTGCTATGTGCTTCTTTCTTAACTGTCCTATGTTCAAGGAGCCTCTTGTAGATACATGAGTTTCTGGAGAACTTGTTAAAGTAAGTTCGTGGTCATACAAAATAGACCAAATGCAAAGCCTCAAGCTGTGAACTCGTGATGGTTGATAAAAAGGAGCACTTCACTGGCAATTCACTAGCCAGTTTTTTTCCCTATATAATTTACTTTTAACTATCAAGTATTTGTGGAGGTGACTATTTAGAAAGAAAACCCTGCTATTTCAATCTTGTGGGGTTTTTTTAAATGCCTTAAAAAGATGAACAAGGAGTGTTACAGAATTTCACCTAAAACAACTTCTGCTTCAGTTTGCTAGTAACTATAGCAATTCTCAGTGCCTTTGTTTAGCTATTCATCTTTGGAGGGGTTTCTGCTTCCATACACTTTGCAACTGGCAGAGCTGAACGTACTCTGCAAAGCATTTTAAGCTAATTCATGCTCAGATTTGTAAAATATGTACTGGGCATGCTCAAGCTCCATTTACATTCATTTTGTATGAGCATTAATGAGATCAAGTAGAACAAGGACAGATGTTTGTGAAAAATAAAAAGTTAAACTCCTATTTGTTGTGATGAGAATAGGGCTTACGGCTTCATAGCTAAGAATCATCTGAGCGGAGTGTGAATGAGATTCCTGGAGTATCTGGAGTCTAAGACTCGCAGCTCTTCCCATCTGGTTATTTTTCAAGAGCACATCTTCTGCATTACATAGCAAATAATGATCCTTGCATAAATTCAGGATTATTCACTCCAAGGACAACAGAGTAAGGTCATCTTATCAATTATTTGTAGCAAAGACTTACCTAGAAGCGCAACTCCTCCAAGGTAAAAAAGGGGGGGGAGAAACCACTGTAAATGGCAGCGAAATTTCATCTTTTAAAATAATACAACTCAGGGTTAAATTGAATGGAGGCAAAAAGACATGAGCTGTGCCAATACCAATACAGGCATGAAATTTCAAGTACCCATTAACAGACTTCTCAGCTCTGTAAAATGTTTCAGAGTAAATAAGCATTCTGAGCACTGAAGGAAAACATAATTTCAAAGAAAAGCTTGTCAGTTAAGGTCAGTTTAATATCCACTCATGAATTTCACGTTTTTAAGTCTTGCTGATAAGCTTTTATAATTGAGTTACTTCTCTTATTCCATGCATATTGAAGCAGTAATTAAGCTATTATATGAGATACAAAGTATTGTGTGCTCGATTCATCAATTTTTGTTCAGTCTCACAGTTCTTGTTCGATTGCACTGGCATTGTTACACTGAAATATCTCCAAATCTATCATGTCAAGATTATGCATGATGTAATTTGTAATAGTAGCTAGGGATTTGTTTACAAAAACAAATGTTTCTTTAATCTTTAAAACAAAATTAGACTTGTCTTACAGCACAGAGCAAAGAGATTTGAATGAATACAACACTTTTAATAAATCAGTAATTACCTCATGGAGTGGCAGTTGGCTCATTTAACCTTTGAAAACAGCTTCTTCCACACAGAGTTTAAACTGTGCCCTTGTGAGATAAATTTTGAGAGCTAGTCTGTGGAGATTTAAGTGCTCTATAGGTGCATTATTTATACGACAGAAATCCTCTATTCATAGAAAAGAATTTGGAGCACACTGTCTTTTCACAGTAGAGATAAATGCAAGTTAATTAAACTATCTCCTAAAAACATTTGCAAACTCTGCCACTTGGTACCTCTGTTCATAAAGTGGCACACCATGTGCAAGTTCATAGCACCAACGTTAGGACAATAAAACCTCCTTTGGTTTGCAGTGCGAGCTTGTTGGTTGGAGGGGGTTTAAATTACACTCCACCAGCTGCAAACTGGTCTGCCATAAACAAATTTCTGTAGTTGATATGGTCTGAAAATTGTTGGTGGGTACGGACAATGGCAAAAGGCTATTCCCATCCTTTCTCAGAGCATCCTGGATCATCCATGGGTTACGCTCATCAGGGCTTCGACACACATTGCTCTGCAAATTAACCAGACACATGCCAACAAACAGCTAATGAAGGCTGTTGTTCTTCTGCATGTGTGTAATAAAATGGTAACAGATTTGTGCAGATTTTATTAGGTTGGAGGACACAGCATAATTTTCAGGGGAAAAAGAACATACCAAGAACTAATCACAAGTCCTTTAATTGCCAACTGTGGACAAGTTAGTTTTACTGCTATTAAACAGGCCAAAGACATGTGATGGTGGGTGTTAGTATTTTTCACAGAGAAAACCAGTGACAATAGCTTGCATTTGAAAACAAACAAACAACAATCATTTTCTCCTGCAAAAAAAACATGTACAAAGTTAAAATATGTGTATTTCATTGATTGATAACGCATAATTACATTATGTGTTATTAATTTCTGTAGATTCAGTGGAAGAACTTGCCTTATATATTTATTTACTGGAATCTTCTTTGTAGACTGGAAAAAACAAGAGACAAATACTACACTATTTATACCCAAGCAGTACACCAGAATTTAATTTCATAATTGATGGCTATCCAGTATATTATGCATGCTTTGTTATGCCTTATAAATGCATTAGAGTTCTATAATTTATTCATTTTCAGTGGTTTTTCATAGAGTACTTTGCTGCTAAGCTATGATTCTGG